TTTCTAAAAATGAAAAACAAAAAATCCTGAACATAGAATAATTTAAGAGTAAAACAATTTCAATGTTAGCAGATTCATCGTCAGAAGCCATTCAAGCCAAAGGAAGTATCATATTTTTTAAATAATAAAAGAAAAGAACTATAAACCAAGAATTGTATTATAGCCAGTGAGTATATCCTTCAGGAAGAAAAAAATAATAACATGTTCAATGAAAAAAAAAAACTAAGAGAATTTTTGCCAGGTTATCTATGGCTTATTGAATACATGTAAAAGAAATCTTTGGCCACTAGGGAAAAAACATTCAGAGGAAATATGTAAGGCAATGACAATGTAAGAGGGGAAGAACAAAGGTATAAAAAAGGAAGTAATTTTTCTACAATTCACATAAACTGACAAAAGGATGACACCAGTCAAATTTGATGTAATGTTAATATAAATAATAAAAATGAAATTCTAATAAACTGTTCAAGTATGAACCATTCATGCCATATATGAAGGCAGGAAAAAAAAGGAAACAAAAAACATCCAGAAACAAAAAATAAAATGGCAAACTTAAGCCTTAATAATTACATTAAATATAAATAGACTAAAAACATCAATTAAAATTTGAGATTGGCACAGTGGAATTTGAAAACATGAACCAACTATATGCTGTTTGGAAGAAACTCAATTTATATAGGCAGGTGAAAAGGAAGCACTATATCATACAAACATTAATCAAAAGGAAGCATAAGTGATTAAATTAATATCATGTAAAACAGAATTCAAAGCAAAGAAAATAAGAAAATTATATGACTTAAAAGTATCAATTTACCAAAAAGATAAAGCTATTTTAAATGTATATAGATTAAATAATAGAGTCCTACTATATGTAAAGCAAATAACAGAGAACTGAAAGAGAAAGACAAATCCAGAATTATGGTTTGAGACCTCAAAAGCCTCACTCCAAACAACTGATAGAACAAATAGAAAATCAACTGTGGTGTAAAAGAAATCAATACCACCATCAACCAACAGTATCTAATTAACATTTACAGAACATTCACCGCCAACAATAGCAGAATGCACATGTTCAAGTGTACATGGAACGTGTCTGGACCAAAAGAGAACCTCAACATTTAGAATAATTAAATTATACAGAGTGTGTTTTCTGACCTCAGTGGAATTAAACTAGAAATAAATGATAAAGAGATAATAGGGAAATATTCAAATGCGAGAAAACTAAACAACATACTTCTAAATAATCTACAGGTCAAAGAGAAGGTTTCAAAGGCAATAAAAATACATCAAATTGAGTTAGAATTAGTCAGGCACAGTGGTGAGGGCCTGTAATCCCAGTGGCTCAGGCGACTGAGGCAGGAGGATAGCAAGTTCAAAGCCAGCCTCAGCAAAAGCAAGGCACTAAGCAACTCAGTGAGACCCTGTCTCTGAATAAAATACAAAATAGGACTGGGGATGTGGCTCAGTGGTCAAGTGCCCTGAGTTCAATCTTTGATACCCCCACAAAAAAAGAGTGAGAATTAAAACATAACATTTCCAAGTTTGTGGGACACAGTTACACCAATGTTGACAGGAAATTTTATACCAATAAATGAATTTAGTAGAAAAGAAGAAAAGTTTCAAATTGATAATCCAGCTTAGT